TGCTGCTGATGTACCTGAAGAAGCCCTTCTTGGTGTCTTTGACATCCCTTGCCAGATTTAATTCCAAGTGGACCTTAGCCTTCCTCATTGCACCCCTGCATACTCTGACAACATTCCTATATTCCTCCCAAGTGGCCTGTCCCTTTTTCCGCATTCCGTAAACTTCCTTCTTCTATTTGAGTTTTGCCAGAAGCTCCCTGCTCATCCATGCACATCTCCTGCTCCCTTTGCTTGATCTCTTGCTCACAGGGTTGCACCAAGCCCACAGCACCACTGAGTGATACTCCTTTGTGGGCAGAGGAGCGGATACTTCACAAGCACAACTGCCTAAGCAGCAAAGCCTACCACTGACTCATGTCGAGCCTCAGGGTCTTTCCTATGTCCTTGCCAACTTTCCCAGGCTCTGGCATAACCTTCTGCCCTCTCCTTGACTTCTCAGACCTTCAGGAAAAGGCAGATAGCATTGACGGCCAGGCTGTGCAGACACAATACGCCCAAAAGATGGAGATATTGCTCCCTAAGTCATACTGCAGAGTAGTAGAAGTACCATCACCCAGACTGATGGAAGAGGTGTTAATCTAGCCTTAGGACACCAAAGGCCCAATCAAGCCTGATAAGCACTGTTCAGCAGAAAGAATGAGCTACAGGTTTATTGCAGTGTCTTGTAGAGAAAAAAGTCTTGATCAGAGTTTATTATAGAAGACAACAGAGATCAGACAAAATGAGGCCAATGTGAAGAGGGAGACGGTGAGGGCAGGAGCCTATATACAGAGGGTGTCTACTAAGAAATGATCTGCCACCAGTATCATCAAAAAACCCCCATGTACTAGGCTGAGACCACAAGAAAACATCTGCACTGGGGCCTGAGAAGCTGGAGAACGTCACAACAGATGACTGCTGCATTTGTGGCACAACTCTATTAGCAGAAGTTAGAAAGACACTCAGTAATTTCTAGGTATTAATGTAAACATTTACGACTCCCAACACTGGTATTTTCATCTTCCTGGAAGAAAGCAAACACAGTCCAGTTTTGGGCTCAAGATGGGCAATGAATTGTTCAGCATACCTGTAGAGGGGATCAGCAAACTTCTCCCAATGCTCAAGCAGTATTTCAGCACACCTCTGGGATGCAGACAACCTTTGCTACATGCTCAGGATTAAATTGGTCCCACAGAAATGCTACAAGTAGACTGCACCAGCTCTACGTTGATTTGAATTTCTGAAGGAAGACCTCCTCTGCAGGGTTTTAGAAGAAGAGTGTGAAAAAAATATGAGAGTGGGTCACAGGGTATGATATGGCTCCTACTGCTCCTCAAAGCAGTGTCATGCAGTGGCATAAATCACAGGGACCATGATTCCAGAAGCAGTAATCATTCCCTCCCAGCTGATGCTTACCCTCCCACGGCTTTGCTATTCTTCATCTACTCTACATTCACCTAATTTAAAGATCTGGTGGAAAAATTTTGTCTCAGTCTCCAGTTTCTGCTTACCTTATTTACCAAGACAAAGGCAGAGTAAGTGAGATAGGTCAGTCATCCAACTGCTATGTCAGGAGCAGCATTTCTGACCCGAGGGCTTGGTCTGGCAGAAGCACAATTAAAAACTTCCCTTTGTGGAAGGTGACGATAGGAGTCAGAAATCTGGAAAGTGGTAACTGCACTTTAACAGGGCTTAGGCACCTGGACAGTACAGGAAATGTGGAGATCATCAAGGATGCCTGTGCTCTTAGCACTTCAGTTGTTTAAAGAAGCAGGAGAAAACCATGAAGATATAAATATCAAAAGACAGCACAAACACAGAAGTGAAGATGACACAGAAAAACATTTAACCACCCAAAATACAGAGTAGGCATCGAAGGGTATCAAGTGACTCCCTCGCCATCTACTCTCCCACTAGTAAAAAGAGCAGAGAAGGAAGGGAATACATTGAGTGCTGGCCGTTCTTTTCTGCTCAAAGAAACAAGAAAGCCAAGATCTAGGTGAGATAATGAGTGCTTCCTAGAGGCTCATGTCTCTTGATTTTAAAACACTTGGGAAAGCTGAGGGAACAAGTCCTTTGGAACAATAAGTGATGTCCAAATGCTGTATATGAGATAGCAGATCAGCTTAGATGATACAGTGCTCAGCATGGCTCCTTCCAGAAGAAATGCACATACATATATTCACTTAAAATACAGCAAGTGTCCCCTCCCCAAGCTGATGCTCTGAGACCACTTTCAAAAAACCCAGCAGCATTAACAAAGAACTGCCTGTAAGTAAAATACCTTAAATCATTCCCTCTGCAAAACCTCAAAAATGGGAAAAGATGGGCTTTACAATGTTTAGTTAAAACCCCCCTGTGTTCTGCTGCACTTGAAGCAATACTGTACATAGGAATCACTTTTAACTGCTAATCACTGCTGCTGTAATGCTTGCAAGGTGCAGATTTTGCTACTGGAAATGTATTCTCTCTCAAGGACTCTAAATTCTGGTTGTAAAGATGTCTTATGTGTAAGATACTGGCAATGGCGTGTTTCTAGCCTATGGGCATGCACCTCTTGAGAGTAAGAGGGATCATATTCTACATCCAAATCCTGTCTCCAGGTAACTCATGGCTGGGAAGCAAAGTCTTCTCTTGTCCTATGTAGCCTCCAGTGTATTTTTCCTCTCTAACAGATTACCCTTGTAATTCATAGACAGTTTCTGCCTTATTCTCTTAACAGGCCCCACACAATTCTGTCCAAAACACACCCTGACTGCTGGCTCAGCTCTGTAACAGCGGGGTGGTTGAAGGCATTTTATGGAACAAGCAGAGAGCCATGCTTATAGGTCTTTATTCTCATATTAATAAAAAGTGCAAAAACGGATGCCAATGACCACAATCTGGCCCTGTGATTTCTGGAGCCTCCTGCCCATAAACATAGGAAAGGGTTCAATTTTGACCACATGGCTGTCCCATATTCAGAGTACAAAAGGCATTGTCATCTCCAGACTAGCGGTCCCATGAATTCTACTAGCTTGCTGGCTTCACAGCATCAGCACCACAGACACTACATGATCTTCTGAAGTGTGCACAGCACCAGCTTGGATGGTGGTGTACTCCCAGTCCTGTGTTCCCATGGCATGGATAACACAAGTTCAGGTTTAAATTACATAGGAGGAAAGGGGTTAAAGTTTAAATAACTGTTTTGTGTATGAATTAATGTATGTAGCTTTGAGCCAAAATATCTACCATTAATTTTTCCACCTATTTCAGGAGCAGTAAGATACACAAAGTAAAGTTTATTTTGGTACTTGGTATACTTCACTCTCATTAAAAAGAAATTAATCAGCAAATTCCTACACAGCTCAGCCTTCTTTTATGTAAATACAACCCAGCTGTAATGAATTACAAGGTGTTATTATCTCACACACACTGTATAATACTTCACACATAAGAGGTTTCTCTGCTTAGCTCAGCTTTCAACAAAAGCATCTTAAATAAACTGCAAGCAAGTTGTTTGGTCTGTAATGTTTTCACAGAGAAGGGATACACCTCACACATAGAGGGTTTCTTTACATGACTCATTTTATAACAAGTTAAACTGAGGAAGTTCGCCTTGGAAAAAAAATAACAAAATGCCTTTTTTATACACAGAAGGCTCCCTAAAAGATTAAAAAAAATGCAAGCCAGTGTTTGGGAGCCTATATTCTGCATCCCACTGCTCTTTACAGAGAGAAGGGATGTGAAATATTCCCCAAAACACACAATATGAAGAAAGCAATTTCAGAAGGAAACCAGGCACAGTCACACTTTCACCAGATTAGGATTCATAAATTAAGGATTAAATTTCACAAATTAAGATTATTGACTTTTGTTTAATAGTTTTATTAGGAATAAGTCCTGATACTATAGGGCTTATTCTTATCAAAAGCGCACATGGCACAGAAAACACACACACATCAATTTTACCCAGAATGACATTTATTACTGACTAAGATTTTAGACAGGAGAGAAATGAAAACTGTTTTTGTCACTGACCTGGAAACAGCCTGGTAAACCATCCACCTACGCAGTACACCTCAGCCTGTGCTGATATAATCACTGGAGCTCTTGCTCACGTAATTACTATGTTGGCGTAATTTGCCTGCACAACCATATAAAGTTTTCACTGAGGTTGCTAGGTCTTGTTAAAAAGCCCTGGACCACTGCTTTGGGGGATGGAGGACAGCATAGTCCTGTCCCGTTAAGAGCCATGGAGAGAAACAGGGATGTTATTTTCATAAAGAAATTCTTAGACCACAACTCTAAAAAGAAGATGGAAATATCAGCAAGGCAGCCTGAAATACTAAGTACTCTGAGGCAGCTTTTAATGACAGCCCAGCCACATTTTGGACTTTATTCTCATTAAGATGTCCAGAGTCACAGAGGATTACCGGGGACTGTGCATTATTCTTTGCATCCCTCTATCCTTGTGCAACAGAGCAGAGTTCCTAAAAAGGATTTTCACAGAAAATCCTTCAAAATCTGTTAAAGCAATTCTTAACTCCACTAAAGCAAAAATGGACCATTCTGTCTTGATATCAGGCTTTTAAAATACATTAATATCTAACATTCAAAGCTCAGATTTGCATTCAGAACCATTCAATGAGCAGAGGAACACCGTTGTGTCTCTATGTAGCAGCTCTCCAAATGAGGCAAAGGATAGAAATGTCTTCTTGAGATAACTCTTAGTCATGGTAAAATATCTGGTTTCCTAAAGACAGAAGGCAGGTCTTTCAATTTGTCAGCTAGGACCACTCAGTGCCATAAAAAGGACAGAGGTTCTCAAACCAACTAGCATTTATTTGCAGGTGAATATTCAGAAGAGTATCGCTGTCCAATTTGCTACTGAGGCACCACGGATAGGATATCTAATTAAATATTTTCTTTTCAACAGCAGATTTTTTCTTCCTGACCCCACAGCCTCAGCCCAGTTCAATTTCAGGCATGCTTCCCAAGCTGATCTGACAAATTGATAGAAATGTCAGGCGCCAGCACTCTCAGAGTCCTTCGTCATTGTAAACAGGGGAAAGGGGCTTGAGAATGCTGCGGGCGTTGCTCTCCACGAGCGGCCGCCAGCTCACCTCGCCCGTCAGCAGCAGGTCCTCCCCGCTCAGCGTGTCCAGGTGCTGCACCTGCAAGGACAGGATGTTAGTGCAAGGTGTCCCATCACCCATTCAAGTTCCTCAACAGCAATACAAACACGTTGCTTTCCAGAAAGTAAGCAGAACATGGAGATTTTAGCATACTTTGCCATTTGTGTGAGGTAGACCTAAAAAGATAATTTAGAACTGCTTAAACGTCATGGAACGGCTAGGAGATAAGTATCTGCAGATCCAATGGAGTTAACTGCGTAAGGTCATCTACTAACACCTTAGCTAATGCTTCCTCTGAAAGTTTTGCAACAGGACAAAGAAGAGCCATGCAAAGCTGACATGAGTCACACTATCTTCCTGGCAGTTAATTCAGATGACACACTGCTAGTACCATCATCTCCATGGAGTGCTCCATAAAAGTGGTTTCACATACATCAAGGCTTTTCGCTATAGAAAAAAAGCCTGACCAGCAGAGAACACCTGAGATTTATAATATAAAAGCACGTGAGCTGGAAGAGATGAACATGGAATGAACGCTCATGCTCGCAATACAAGAAATACTTGGGATCAAATGAAATTTCGAGGTGCGATGTAAACAAAATAAAGAAACCCCTCTTGTCACACAACATAGGGTTAACTTGCTGCCACAGGACACTGTAAAAAAAGGCAGTGGTAGGAAGAAGGGAGGGGGAAAAAAAAGAAAATAAAAAAGTCCATTAAGGGTCAGTAAAAGACAAAAACACCACCTCTGGCCCAGGAAGTCTGTGAAAGTAGATTGCTAGGAGAGCTGAGCAGAGAAATAGTACACATGCTCGCCCTGTTACTATATTCTTCTCTGACAACCACTAATAGCCACTGTTAAAGACAGGATCAGCAAGAAATTGTGGGAAAGACCTCATACACAATGCTTACTGGAAACAAAAGATAAGTTAACCAGGAGTTTCTCAACAGAGGAAGGAACATGCTAATGGCCACAGAGGGTCAGACTGAAGAGCCACCTAAGCACAATATCCTGTTTCTTACAGTCATCAACAGCAGATTCCCCAAGAGGAGTTAAGTACAACGCATGCATACAATGTTATTTTCCTTGTTTATTTTCTCTCCTTCTCAAAATTTGTTAGTTTGGGGATTTTGAGTCTTAAAGCAGTTATTGCATATTTAATAGTCCTGGACAGACTTCTCTTCCATAAACCTTACCAGTGGGTTTGGAACCCATATGCAATTGTAGCATTCCAACCAACCTGTGGCAATGTTATGTCCCCACGTGCCTGTATCAGTCAACAGCCTTTCCTTGCTCACCTTTCTTATGCCTTCAAGATTTCCCAGAGCTGTCTCATATTCTTTCTCAGCTGTTTTTCAGGCAAGGGATCCTACTCATTGCTAATAAAGGAGTTGTTTCATGTCATCCTTACCGCT